AGAGTAATACATTTTTCCACAGCTCTTTAGCACCCTCTATTGTTTTCTTTTTCTAACCAAAATTTCACTCTTTTTGAATTGTGGCATTAAAAAATAAAAAGAATATATGCAAAGTCTTTTTCTAAAGCAGCATAAAAATAAGGATCAGTAATATAGTAGTATGTAACCAGAAAGCAAGAAAAACAAGAGGAGGTTATAGATAAAGTTTCCATACCAATTCACTGACTCACAGAAAAATGCTTTCTTGAAGGCAGAGATTTTTGCTACCCACTTCAGCAAAGAGTTGAGCCTATGACTGCAGAAGTTTTGTCTAATAAGACCTGAGTAGTGGCTGCAGAATTTAACCTTATAAGTGTAAACTGGAAACAAAAATACATAGCATTATACTAGGACAACTATAAACAATGTGAAATAGGTCTAAAGATTTGTTAAGTGTTCTCAAATGCCAAGCTTGTAAGACATAAGTCCGTTTTGGATGGTTACAAAAAGTGCCAAATGGATTCAGTTTGTCAGACAGTTATTCAGCCATTGCATGGCTACACATTATTATTACTTGCTACAGACTTCAAGGGGGGAGAAACCAAAAAGCCCAACACACAAATCACACACTCAAAGCAAGATTTAACTTTGAATTGGACAAAGTCTGTTTGCATGTGAAGAAATACAATTGATCTGAGGATCTTCTAGAAATTCCTTAAATCTCTGAAGCGGCTAAAGAACAATTTTCATGGCTGCCACTTAAAATGCTTGTTTCAATCAAACTCACAAACTTGCCATCATTCTCTGAATTAACTCTTATTACCTTCTAACTGAGGAATATAACCAAATATTAAAGTGGCACATATAAATTTGGATAGAGCAAAAATGTAGAGCTTGATAAAGTTTCGTGGAAGATATACAGAGTCAAAAATCAAATCCAAGAGTCATGAAGGGCCTGAGCTTGTTAACAACTGTTGTGACTTAATGCAAAGATACAAAAGTTGTTTGGGGCCAGACAGAGTTCAATGTGAACATGAATTTAAAAGCAAGTACACCTGAAAAATCAGGAGCAAGTCAAAAGCAATGTAACATGCATCTAACTTTCTCCTGGGCTTTCTCAACAGGGCAAAAGTCTTGCCAGCGACTTGTGTAAGGCTGCTCCACGGAATTGGCTCATGCCAGAACAAGACAGATGGGATTGGATGTGAGGGATGGAGAGTATCTTTGGGTCCCTGGGACAGGGGAACATCTTGTCTAAATCCCCTGTCTTGTATTTAGAATTTACCCTTCGACATTTCAAGTTTGTCTTCTTTTGTTACTTAACCCTGACAGAATCTTGGGTGTTCGAAGTCAGAGGAAATTTGATTAAATGGAAGTACTGCTAAATGTCAGACCAGAACAGATACTGCAGCATCTGAACTTAAACTCTGTTTAGCCAGGAGTGAGATAGCATGTGAAATGGCAGAGCAAATTATTTTCTGTGTTAACCCCACAGTGCCGGAATGAAATAACTGGTAAAGAAAGTTACTATTTTTCATTACTATCTTAGCAGTGGGTGGTTGGTTCAGAGAGTTCTATGCTCTCACCCTCTTCAATGCTCCTCTAAGACGTACTTTGAAAAAATGAATGAAAAGAATATAAGATAGCAGAGGTTGGTAGTGTATCAAAATGGACAGTTAACATTTACGTGTAAAGATTTCTTGAAAACCAAGGCCCTAGGAATAGGAAATTGATACAGTGTCTGATACAAAATGGGTGGGGATATTTTGGGCAATATCTAATGGCAATAGTGATGGATTTCCACTAGTTTTCAAAAGATCCACAGACAGATCAATATTACAAGCTTCTGTAAAAACCTGTTTCTGTGCTCCATAAATACCTTCCAATTTGTACTGCACCCAGAAAACTGTTTTGATTAATGTTTCTGGACAATATACTGTGCTTTAAATATAGATCAGTGGCAATCACACTACTCTGAAATGAATCCAAAGAATTACAGTCAACCCAGCCAGTCTACTGCAAGAAAGAAGCAAAACTAGCACTTCAGCAATATAGGCTGAATATAACTTCAGCATTTCTCCTATTTGCCTACTCTGTTTAAGATGCTAACTACATCTGTGCTAGGTTTTCAAGCTCTTTGATTGCAATAAATGAGTAGAGACTCCTGAGAAAAAAAAAAAATTATTAATATTTAACAACACTTTGTTGTGCTGGGACGGATCCTCCACTATCTTGTAACTTTCATTTTGTGAGAAGCACAACTGCCATGACACCCATTTCAGCCAAATAAAAGCAAATGGGGAAAGAATAGCTCTTTTTAATTCATCCCTTGAAAACAAACATTGTGTAACCTGGAGAGAACCTCACCAGAAAACACGTCAAGACTGTTCCTTCCATTGGGTGGGAAGCAGGTATGATGGAGGATGGGGTGCTCTGCCATGACTGAGTGCTGTCAGCCTGCCTGCCTGCCTTCAGTTCGCAGCATGGTATCCCTACCACCACATTATGCGCCGCTCTCCCAGTTTGGGGGCTGAGTAGGGTATGCCCTTGTCTTCCCTTCTCTATGCTAAAAGACACATTCCCTTCTGTGGGCCAGGCATGGAAGTGTGGCTATCAACTCTCCCTTACACCCAAGCACTCTTCCAACACATTTTCCTCATGCCAGGTCCAGCGCATCCCAAGATTCATGAGCCAAGGTCTAACATATCCCACTCTCCACACACACAGAGGCATGAGTCCCACACTGAAAGCAGGCAAAAATATTACAACGTAGTAAGAATCCCCAAATGGGATGACCCTTCCATGGATGGGATCTGCGCAGTGTGCTGCACACTGGTCAGAGGCCTTTTTGAAGCTGCACAACCCAGTGTTCCCAGCATCTGAAGGTAAGATTATCTATACTAACCTCTCTTTCTTTATAGTGTTACCTTTAATAAACGGTATTTTAAGTGATACTTTACAGTGTCCAATTGCCTTTTTTACTGGGATCATAACAAACCAGCACCTCCTGGTGCAAAACAGATGAAGAGGACAGGAGAGCTAGAATGCTATAAAAGAACTGAGTGATCAGAAGGACTAGAATTACATACATGGATGAAATTAGAACAGAACAACAGCAAAATGCAGCACCATTCCCTTAGGAAGCAGAATCAAAATATACCAATGCAATGTAGGAACTTGTCAGTTTAAAATGACATAAAAAGCAAAAGCTTTGACTCAGCTGCAGAGGTGTTAATGTAACAGGTGTTGGATTAAAATTAAGGCACAAACTTCCAGTAAACATACAAAAAGTACACACATAACCTTGTATACTACATACTCACGTTCACAAGCAACTGCTACAAGTATGTACCAGCACCAAAACAGGTCAACAACATCACCTTCAGCAAGAGAGTAAAAAAATCTTCTGTTGTATCCTGCTTAGCAAAATTAAGGTAGCACAGGCATACAAGTGGCTTCAATAAACATCTTGTGGTATAGAGGAGGGCTTTTCTCACTAAGAAGATGGAAAAAAAATAAAACCTATCTTACTGAAAAGGAAGTTGTCAGCAGAAGAACATATAAGGCCTTGGTACACACATTTAAGGCACAAATCAGAGGAAGGCCCTAAGAAGAGGATAGAAAAGCCCCTCAGAGGTGCACAAAGTTCAGTGGGAATCCAAGGAGCTTGTGATGCAGCTTTTCAGAGTAACAGAAGCTAGCACAGAGATACAGCAGCTTCTCTCCTATCCCTCAGTGCCGGTCTCCATCCTCTCACCAGGGCATTAACTAAGAATGCATGGATTTGGCTCCTCAGTAGGAATTAAGGAATCTGCTAGGTTTTACAAGGCAGGGACAGGAACACCCAGAATCAGTTCCCCAGCTCCAAAGAAAGAAAAGTTCATCGGCATGTAAACTCAGGGAAGGAACTGGGAAAGCAGAGCGCAGCAGGTGTTGGTCAGGGGTAGGCGAGCAGCCTCTTCAGGCCAACTTTTCAGAACGCAGATCACTTTTACTATTTGTCAAACTATTCCAATCACACAGCTTTCCTAAACTTAGAGACCTAAACTCAGTGATTTAGACTAGCAGATGTTAATCCTTTTTCTCCACATTCTTACCTTAAACCTTGGGTCTTTTTGCAGATAATAAAACAATACACAGGAACATCATGCCTGTTCTTCATTTTTCTAGTATACAACAAAACAATGTTTTAAAGCCATTTCTCTTGGCAAGACTGCTCCTAAACTTCTCTTTACAGCTGCATAGCAAATTGGTATTATTTTGCCCCCTCCAAGAACAATTCCACATTAAGATCCCAAATCTCTCACCAGTCCAAAAAGCTTCAATTCCAGATTTCTTATGTGCTAAATGCCTGCCTTCTACTGCACTACTACTATTTTAACTGAAATACAAGGTCAGGAAGCTAGAAATCTCTCCAGAAGCATAACTCAGCAATAGCTCATCTCAAATACAAATATCAGGATAACTAGAAAATTTACGTCAAGTTTTCTGCTTTCAAGATTTTCTGCCATTGGAGGCAGAAATCTTGTCCAATTGCTTCCCAAGAACATAATATTGAGGCCCTCAAGCCCACGGCTTAAGTGTTGTCTGACACTCAGTGCTGCATGACCTCAAGTCAATACGAGCAGCAAATCCCTTCCTGCACACCTCAATTCATTTTCTCTTCTGACAAAGCAAAAACACTCAACCTGAAAACCCAGAGGCTGAACATCCCACACATTCAAATAAATATTCCTAACAAAGAAGAAAAGAAAAATGCCTCTTGCCCTTTCTGGAGTTATGTATAAGCAGCACCATTAAGGAGATGAACACTTAGACCTGAAAATTCTGCAGACCTAGTGACACAACAGCCCAAGTGTCAATTGGTTCAAAACAGTATAAAGCATGCATTTGCATGAATTGCTTGATCATATCTTAAAATTTGTGAAGAACAGTGATCCTTTTCCCCCACCTCATCTTACAGAGAGGAACAGTAAGACAGCTTGAAGCATCCCAAAAGCACATACAAATTTCAGTTTCGCTCCCTGTAACACTCAGATATGCCAGCTCCCCAGCATTGTGTCTTTCACAGCATTTAACTCTTCATAAAAATGGCCTTCTGGATGAGCAGATATTTTGAATAATTTCATAAATATGGAAATAATGTCCATCTGATGGCTGCATCTAACAGCATATCACATGAGAGTACTCCAGCAACTCATGAAAGTTTTCAGACTTCGTGGAAAAGGCCTCAGATGGGAAAATGACCGAGATTCCAAAACACTCAGGCAAGTGCCGGAATAAAATACTGAAGCGAAACATCCTCATGGAGCAAGATGAAGTGGACAATTCTTTTACTTACAATATCTGTAAAGAGAAAAAAAACACAAATCCCGTTTAAAGCAGGAAAAACATGTTTAAGTTACATCTTCTACAGAACGTCACCATAAGAATACAATGCTTCTACCACTTCTGACAGAAGGATGACTAGACATATCATCCTGTAATATTTAAGTCCTTGAGGGTCTACGAAGCATTACTAAATTACTATGAAAGCTGATACCAAAAAGGAAATATGTAATGTATGGCCTATAATGCTATACCCATGATTTAAATCTTCCTTGGGAAATTCTTAGCATCTGCACTAAACCATAACACACAGATGTTCTCAGGAAAAGCATACAGAGTTATCAAAATAGGATATAAAACCCTGCATAGGCTTCCGCTAGAAAGAACATATTGTTTCTATGGTTAGAAACAGTAGCTGTATGAAAAGCATTTTGGTATTAGCATCAATTTGGTGCTGAATATAAGAAAGCATCTGAGAAAATAACCAAAACAAACATGTCAGTAAGTCCCAGTTTCTCTGCTAGAAACTAGGGGCTTTGTTTTAAGACTTTCAAAAAAATAATACCTCAAAATAATAATAAAAAATAATAACTTCAAAACAAAGACAACAAGAAGACACCCATGATTGGTCAGTCTGAGTATTCAACTTGATACTTATAAAAGGGCCTCACTTACTTTTTTATGGCTTTTTTTTTCTTCCCCAAACGCCTAAGCCCTGAAGCTTACTGCCTAAAAATAGAAATATTAAAAGTCCCCAGGTACACTAAAAAGAGTCAAGTTTCAAACAGACAAAACAGAAGATATGCTGTTCTGCTGAGACTACAAGTATGGCAAACGTCCCTCCTTAACTGGAGTTTGCAAGCAGAGCTGTTGAACTTACTGCACAATGCTTTTGTGGGATTGACCTGCTGTCCAGCAAGCAGCTGCTGCAGCTTCTTGATATCTATGCGTGCCTCAGCCATGCTTTCCAGATCTCTGCCTTGAGCAGAACTTTGACATCCATCCTCTGATGCTAAAAGCATAAGAACACAACACTTAGTCAAAACATCAGAAGGAGTTTCAACACCTATAAGGACACACCTGATAATCACTACACAGCTGGTACTCAATTGAGTTGTTTTTCAGAAACAGCAGTGCAAGGAAGAGAAAGCCCAGTTCTCCTACAAAGTTGTCAAGGATACTGGAAGAGATTCCCCCCACAAACATGAAACAGCCATTGGCCACTTTTCTTTTTAAGGTTTCTTTTGAAGACTTCGAAGTACTCGATGCTATTTTGTAAGGACTATCAGAAGGTAAGTACTGTTACCAGCATCACACTTCAGTAATGAGATCAGACAGACACAAGAGGCAACAAACAGGGAAACTTACCCCAGGGAGGATTTCCCAAGTCTTTAAAATGTGTTGTTACAGATACTAAGTCAGTTTCTATTTTCAAGTTCATTTCTCCACTCAAGTTTGCTTCAATCACCTGCAATGCAATCAACCTCAATTTTAGGCAAGCCACTTTCACACTGCAGAATTACAGAAGAATAAAGTGCAGCTTTGTTCAAATACATGCTTCCAGAAGCACTTCAGTGCCTCCACATCTCAACTGTACTTTTTGAACATGGTTTGAACATTTGAATGTTCAGCTAAAAAATGCATTTCTCATCATTCCTGTGTGAATTATCCTAGACCAACCTCCCTGAAATTACAAAAAGAAAGAAATTGAATTGCTGTCCAGTACTTTTAGAACAAGTACTGGCGTTGGGAAGTTCATGTGCTGAGCAAAAGGCTTTAGAAATAAGAGACTGAAGCTGGAGAAATGCAAGGTTTCCTGCATTTCCATCCAGCTTTTCAACAAACAGAAAGGCACCTACACAGTCCATATGATACACACAGAAAAAGCGATGCACCAAGAGCTTACCTGTAGTTACAGTGTTGCTTTCCAAGACCTAAGAACAGACAACAGCTGCACCAGAGCAGTAACTCTAAGCAGGACTTTGAACTGCTAGAAATCCTGGAAAAGTGCTGAAAGCTTTCAAATTCCATTCCGACAAAGTGTCCAACCAGAGGACTATATATGATCTTACGCAAATCCCAAGCAGATCAGAGGATTCCTAAAGCACATCTAAGCACTTCATTTCTGTGATTAGAATTCTCAGTAATTTTACAAGAGGCTCATGTCACAACCAGAATCTCCTATCAAATGGGAGATGCCCACAGACGAATGCTCCCAATGGCCAAGTACTATTTGAAAGAGCTTCTAAGCCCTTTTTGCAGCACTGATCTTGACCAGTTTTTCTACCAGGATGCTTCTACCACGAACATTTAATTGTGACACTTGATGTTTTTCTTCTTTAATAACAGAAAAGCATGTAGAGGATGCATGTAGTCTGCCTCCTCCCTTAGAGCTATCAAAGCTATTCAACGGAGATTTATTTATTTTCCTGCTTTGGAGCAAGAGGTAAGGAACTTAGGAAGGCGGGTATGTCCAGTGTTGATATGGTACCTCTTCTGAGTGTTGCTGAACACCAAAGTTCAATCCCACCACACAGCTATCCTGTGTGAGAAGAGATCCTCAAGTCCAGAAACAAAGCAGTTAGAAACTGTGCTTAGTTGTGTGTAAGCAGTTCCACTGAGGACATTGGGGAAGGAAGGAGAGAGGAAAAATGAAACCCCCAAAAGACTGACAAAGGAAAAGAGTTTGAAGTGCAGGAGTATTTGCAGGATGACTGTCACCTGCAAAACTGCCAGAAACCCAGGGTGATCTCTCAACTCTTCCAAGCCTTGGAAGACTGAGACTGTCCCAATTCCAGGATTCTCAGTTTACAAAAAATTTCCCATGTATCAAAATCGGTATGAACAACCCCAAAACCAAACTATTCCAAAGCTCTATGTTCACTTACTACCTTTCATGTCAGTCAGTCGTGGTGACTGTGAGCAACAACAACTGAAAAACAAAACAAACCCCTTTTCTGGCCAACTGCAGAGGGCTTCTTTTAATGGAAGCCCCACCAGCACTCCAGAAACCCAGGGTGGACTGGAAACCTGCCATGTCAGAGTCTAAAGCACAGGCTGACATCCAGGAGCTATTAGTAGGATTTCCTTTAAATCCTACCTCAGGTTTACCTAAAGTTCACACAGACACATAACACAAGACTCACTTAATAGGCATTTCTTTAATGCAATCATCTGGGAAGTCCCCAGCTAGCTTCCTGAAAGACTGCAATTTCTTACCAGCTATAAAGAGTGGCTCTTAGCAACACAATGCCACGTTCTTTCAAGAATTGAGTACAAAGAGCACCACTTTCCGGGAAGCCCGGGATGAGCTCTTCAATGTAAATCCTAAAATAAATCTCATCATTCTCTTCAGCCCTTACACAGTCTTCAGGTGCCTTTAGTTCAATGTCTGACCCATCCCAAAATAAGACAGAACACAGGGGGCACTAGTTTGGGCAAGAGGGAAACATGCTATGTCCAAGATAAAATAAGGTCTGTAGGACACATGCCTGAAGTGCCTTAGGGAAACATGCTATGTCCAAGATAAAATAAGGTCTGTAGGACACATGCCTGAAGTGCCTTAACTTACAATGGAATTGCTGAGATTCTTCATTCTCTCCACAACACTCTTCATTGTTTTCAGCACTGGTAGGTAAATACTGACCTAGAAAGACATAAGAACTGCATTCGCACAAATATTTCATGTGACTGGGATGTGATACATTTCTTTCTCCCTTCAATTCTATCTTATCTTGGACTCAGTTACCTATTGAGTGCAGAGAGCACAATATTTAACTGAAGTCAACAAATGACTCGGGAGCAGAGGAGCTCTTTCCCATTATACCAACAAGCCATTGCTCCAGCAATTGCTTCAGACATACTATCCCAAGTCTGTGTTCAAAATAAAGTACAGACAGGTTTTTGCAGATCAGATTCTCACACGAACCCACATCTGTGTTACTGAGCAGTTAACAGTTACTATAGCCAAAAAGGAAAGAACATGATTCCCATGCTACTGTAATCATTTCTGGAATTGCATCAGTGTAAATCTGAAATAACAGAACAAATTCATCAAGTTTCTACTGAGTCATATTTCTTCATAATTTAAATACTCTTAGCTATAGAGGTAAGACATCCACAACCTCAAATAGGAGCACATTTGCACAAAGACCTTTCCTTGCAACTCAGCTAAAAGTCAAAAAGGATATAGACAGGATATATAAAAACCAGGAGGAAGATATACTCTGCCAGGCAGGCCATGAATTTCAGAAGAACAGATTATTTGGGCCACTTTTCACAACAGCTGAAACAGTCTAAACCTGTGTGGTTTGGAGGTGCTCTTGCCTAAAGCCATGCAAGTCCTTTGCTCCTCCCTCCCTCCACCCTGAATATCACAGCAAAAACTGGTAACCACCTGCTCTGTTTTTACAGGTTCTGGACTCTCTTGTCAAGATGGAAGCCATGTCCCATCTCTCTCCAAACCTCTAGCCTCCAGCCTTCCCTCTTTCCTTTCAAAGGAAAGGAAAGGATTTTGTTTTCCTCCAAAACCCACTGGTAGTATACTCTGCAGCAATAGCATTCCACTTGCAACCTCCCCTTTCCATAGGGAATATAAAAAACAGGGCTTACATCAAAGTCTGGCACACTGGGCTCTCTGAAGTCATTCCATAATCTTCTGGGAATAATCCCCACAGGAATGTCATGTGTCACAATCCTACTGCTGCTTGATAAGGATGGCTTCAGGGAGAGAGAAGATGCTCTTGAAGTTAAAAACAGGACTTTAATTCTGAATTCAAATTTTTCAGACCCACTCTGGGAAATACTGCAACTGAGTGCCCCAGACACTCAGTTTCAGTTTTCCATAGGTTCCTATCAGTCCACTATTAAGCGGACTTCCCTTTTGAATAAGGAAGAGGTTGTGAGGTTATCAGTCATTAGTATCTATAAGCTATCCTTAGAGCTGAAGAGGTGAACCAGTGAAGAGGTGTCAACAACAAAAAAAAATTCGGAAGACAGCAGTTTGAAATGGAATGGCAGGACAATCAAAAGCAAAACAAAGCACCAAACACTACACTGAAACCTCCTTCACCTAATGGCTTCAATGAGAAGGCAATAATCCACAGAAGATTTAGAGAATGAAGGAATCAAGAAAAGCAGACATTAGAAAAAGGTGTTTCAATCACATAGCTTTCATTCTTCCTCCACCTCTTCCTTGCCTTTTGGAAAATACAAAGCTGGTTCTGTGTGCTACCAACCATGATGGCAGGAAAGGCTAGTGAAATGGCAAATGGCATGATTTTTCTTTATTTAGTTTTCCAGAATTACACCAAAGACTATGAAAGCTTCTATTTGATCTTAGGAAAAACACTTAATTTTTAAGAGCTTTTTCTTAATAATGAAGATAAAAGCACTTACTAGCTCCACAGCAACTCTGAGACAGGGACAGTGTTTGTTAGTCAACTTGATCTTCACTGCCTTAGCACTCTGGGCAGTTTTTAATGCTCTCGACAGGTTCTCAGGCATCAACTCTAAATAGATTTCATTGTGCTCTGCAGCTACTCCTTCCATCTGAAATTCATCGAAGAAATTCCCCTACAATTGTTGAAAGTTGGGAAATAAAATAAAGCAAATAAAAAAAAAAAAGACAGAGGGGCACATTTTACCTATTAGACCTTAAGCTTAGAACTGCCTGTGTACAACGGGAAGCTTTCCTCTGCCTGGCATCACCTGCAGGAATCAAGACAGGCTGCATAAGCATGAAGATCCATTGCTTCTGTCTAAACCTTCAGATCCTCCTCTAACACCAATCAGTCCTCAAAACAAGCAGTATGACGCATGAGTCACGCTGTCCTGTTTTCAGTTTTGGACACACCCTTGTGGGCCAGCACACACTGAAGCTTTACACTTAAGTGACAACCAAGGTAAAGGGGATGTCTAGCCAGAAACACCGGGCCTGTGCAACTAAAAGACAGTACTGCAAAACGAAGTGTCTTCAGTGACCAGACAGGCCTTGAGAGACCTGGTGCATCTCAGGTGAGGGCTACATGTATAAAAAATGCCTCGCACACTAGACCCAACCGCACACTCTGGTTTTCAACATGTGGTTACTGAACTTCCCCAGGCTTACCTGGCACAGCTCACACCACATACTGGTGCCTCCATTTGCTACTTTATCAGAGAGGATGAAATACAGCTTGCTGACAGTAAGGCGCAGGGTGCAGGTCTTGGCTAACTTGGCGATTGTGTTAATTACACCTGGCGGAGGGAGGGGGACGTTACAGCGGTACCTTCACACACCTCATCCCAGGGCGACAGGGGACAACTGTTCAGTCTCCAAAAACACAGCTCATGCTGCTGTGGAAACTCCCAAACACCTCGGGGCGAAGGAAAGCGCCTCACGCCGCCTCCCCCGGGAAAGGCCTCCGGGGCCGCGGCCTGGGCGCGCCGGCGCCCGTCA